GGGAGCTTCCTTCTGGGTTCTGGAACTGGCTCACCTTCTCTGCCCTAGGAGCCTGGGATGGAGGCGGGGAGCTTCCTTCCGGGCACTGGGACCGGCTGAGCTTCTCTGCCCTCTTTTATTTTTTCCTTCCTTCCTTTGCTCCTCCCTCCCCTCTAGTTTCCCCTTCTTTATGAACAATTTTTTCTTATTTTACATTGTCAATTATACATTTTGGTCCCTAATTACACTTTCAGTTTCTTACACCAGAGAGACAATGCTATATTTACACATCTGTGTTTGATTTATTTCTTTTAAGAGTATAGCTTCAAGGTGCATTCATTTAGTTATGAATGTCTCAAGCTTGTCCTTCTTTATGGCTGAGTAGTACTCCATTGAATAGAAAAACTACATCTTTTTATCCGTTCATCTGTTGATGGGCATTTGGGTTGTTTTCAAGATTTAGCTATTATAAACTATGTCGCTATAAACATGGGTGCACATACATCACTGTGGCATGATACTTTTTTGGATTTTTAAAAATTAATTTTATTGGTACATTTTAGGTATACAATATAATGACATTCATCATTGGAAACTTACACCTTAACATAATCTCTCTTGGTTCTTATTTTTTCCCCATTTCCCTGCCCTCCCTTCAACCCATCCATCCCTCCCTATTTACAAAGACTTTGTTTCTATTTTTTTATTTTCTCATATTAATTCCATTCTCTTCTTTCCTTTCCTCTATCCCTCCTACTTCCCCTTCTCCTTTGTCCCTTTTCTTCCTATTTCACATTATCTATTATAACTTTTAGTCCTTATTTACACTTTCAGTTTTTCACACTAGCGAAACTGGTATACATGTGTTTCCTATTTATTTCACTTAAGAGAATTGCCTCAATGTGCATCCATTTAGCTAAAAATGTCTCTAGTTTCTCAATCTTTATGGCTGAGTAGTACTCCATTTTATAAAAAACCCCACATTTTCTTTGTCCAGTCTCCAGTTGATGGGCAATTGGGCTACTTCTAATTTTAGCTATTACAAATTGTGCTGCTATGAACATGGGTGCACATATATCACTGTGGTATGATTCTTTTAATTCTTTGGGGAAGATATCCAGCA